CCCCAAAACCCCAAAACCCCAAAACCCCAAAACCCCAAAAAAGACTCTATATATTGACAATTTTAGTCGATTTTTAATAATAATATTAAATTTAAAGATGAACGGTGCGCCTTATAACAACATGAACGTTTACTATAATGTTCAATCCAATTACGGTATGCATAAAAAGCGGGATGCTAAGGAACTTAGTAAAATGGGAATCTCAACTTCTTCTATTAACACTAGATGGCAAACACCAATTAACCAGCAAGAAATAAATATATTCTATAGTCAGTACAAAGATTTCATCGAAGAGGCAAAGGACTACAGAGCTAGAGTTCTAGGCTATACTGATGAAGCTGTAGCTAATACTTCTAGTCAAAATATGCCTTCGAAGTCTTTTACTGTAAATCAATTATCCTCCGTGGGAAGTACTCGGCCTAAAACTGTGATGCAGATCCAACAAGAGCAAGCTTTAAAATATCGGAATCAGCAAAATATGTCTGCTCAAAATGCTTATGGAATCTCTCAGGCTGGGTCTGCCCTATCTTCTTCTCAACCAGGGATGAATCAAGTTGAATCTGCTGCTTCTAGTATGCAAGATTATATCAAGAGAGCTTTTGATAAGTGTATTACTGTTTCTGAACGTCTTGAGATGTCAAAGATAGTCAACAATATTATTGAAGTCAATAGAACAAAGTAAGTATCTTGACCTTAACTTTACAGCCCATTAGTTGTCTGGAGTCGTCAGCCTCTCCCTTTGCTACCAAGGGAGAAGGTGTTCCAAGGCGCATCAGGCGTGGACGAGAAGATAGCTAAAAAGAGGCAAAGACTAAATCGTTTCAAGGAAGATTATTCTAACCAAAGTAGGAATTATCTCGGTAACCCTTTTACAGATAGATTTCAAAATAAACTTTCTTTGGACTCGTTCAACTCTACAAACAAAGGTAAGGGTCCGAAAATCTTAAGTATAGATGACATTAGTTTCGATGAATTATCAAAGAAAAACATTATTGTCGGAACTTGTACCAACCTTGAGAAAACCTATTACAGGCTTGGGGCTGATCCAGATCCTTCCAAGGTCAGGCCCGAGCACATTTTAAAACAAAGCTTAAAAATGTTAAAGAATAAATGGAAAAAGAAGGAAGTTGATTACAAATATATGGAAAGTCAATTTAAATCCATCAGGCAAGATTTGGTTGTTCAGGGAATTAAATCCAAATTATGCGTTAAAGTATACGAAGCCCACGCAAGAGTCTCATTGGAATGAGGAGATCTAGACCATTTCAACCAGTGTCAGACACAATTGCAAGAATTATATGATATAGGACTAAAAGGACATGAACAAGAATTTATTTCATATAAGATTTTATATCTTGTTTTAACCGATATGAAATTCGAAATAGGAAATTGTTTAGAAAAATTGACAGATAAACAGAAGAAGAATTCGCATATCAAGCATTCCTTATTGTAAGTACTATCTTTTTCATGTTTTAAAACTTATGATTTACCAATAATATAGGATGAGGAAGGCATACTCAAGCGATAATTATGTGAAATTCTTCAGTTTATATAAGTCTTCCAATAACATGACCCCTTATTTAATAGACATATTCATTGACAAGATCCGTCTAAGAGCTCTCAAAATTCTGATCAAAGCAAAGTAAGGCTTTTAATTTAATTATAGCATTGTCTCTGGGATTTCTACAAAACTAGTTCAAAAAATCCTTGCTTTTGATGATAAAGATGACACCCAGCAGTTCTTAGAAAAGATTAAGGCACAAGTCAACAAGGGGAAGATCGATTGTAGACAGAGTCTTAAAGAAGTCAACAAAGCAGTGGTCAAATTGAGGATTAAGTCTGATTAATTTAGCTCTAACATTCCAAATCCAAGCATAAGTGTGTTCAACTTATTCCTTTAATTGAATTCAATATTAATTTTATAACTTGGGGTTTTGGGGTTTTGGGGTTTTGGGGTTTTGGGG